GTCACCCGGTGCTCCAAAGAACGCAGGGAATCTTTCTTGCTTGGTACTTCCAGCTCATTGACACTCTCACCTGTTCACAAGGCTCTTTACAGCCGTGTTTGTATTCATGCAACCCTTGCTGAGCTCCTCCTGCATTCCAGGCCACTGGGATGGAGAAATGAGCAAGGCAGCCCCTGTGACTGAGGAGTCTGAGCAAGTCTGTGTCCCCTGCGTGTGAGACACGTAACTAGCCTCCGTGACACGTGAGCAGCTGGAGGCCCAGATAATCTGAGCCTCCCGTCCAAAGCCACGCAGCCGTGAGTGATGGCTCTGGGCTCTGTCTCTTCCGACACCACCCTGGGGGCAGTCTCCCCGGAGGTGATGCACGTGGGAGTGAGGCAGCAGGCGTCTTTGGCCACTTGCCCAAGCCAGCAGGGGAGGTCTTCGAAACAAGCAGCGGCTCCCAGCACCGCAGCCTGCATCCTCCCTCCCAGGTCCCAGGGAATTCCTCGGAAATACCTTCCTGAGTTAATGCTCTAGTATTCATTGGTCCACACCTCCTCCCTGAGATCACCCCTTTCCCCAGTGTGTCTTGTGAGGCGCCGGGAGGGGTATGGTGAGGTCAGGGAGGCCCTGCTGAGAGGAGCCACCCTCGGAGCCCAAGGGAGGGAAGGGTAGACAGGATTCAGGCTGAGGGTAGGCAGAGGTGTCCGGAGTCCAGCGAGTCGTGGCCTCTCTCAGGACGGTGGGGCTCCAGGGGTTGACAGCCTGGGTGGCAGGGTCCCTCTCTGGCAGGGGTGGGGCAAAGGTTGGCCTCAGACCCAAGGCCACGGGGAGAGAATCAGTGACATGCCTCTTCATCCAGGGAGCTGCCAGGACCACAGCCCTCTGAGACAGCGTCTCCCCGATTCACAGACACTGGGGCTGCAAATACTCAACTGCCCCCGCTCCCCCCCCACCCAGGTGGCTGTCTGGGGAGCAGAGGAGGGTTGCGGGCGGCAGCTCAACGCGTGGCCAGACAGGGTAGAATTGATCCCGCCCTTCTCAGTCCAGCAGTGCTGAACAGGTAATCCTGCCCTGAGCAGGGACGAGTGCCAAGAGCCCGGATGGGGCAGAGAATAGGTGCCTTGGCCTGCTGGGAGCGGGCGGAAGCTGGTCCCCGCAGCAGCCACCAGCCAGCCCCTCTGGGTCCCCTTCTCCTGGGTGTGGGGTCCTCAGCAGTCCCTGTGCTGAGTGCCCTGGTGCTGAGCTCCCAGATGCCCCTGGGGAAAGAGGCGTCTGGGTGGGGCCTGAGCCAGGGCAGTCTGTCCTCTCCGGCTGGATCTGTGGCTTGCCTGAGTGACGGACACTTTGTTTCCATTCATCAGCCTTGGGCAGGGCCCAGAAGGTTTACTTTTTCACGCCCAGTTCTCTGAGCGCCAGTCCTGGCTCTGACTTGCCCATCAGTTCTGGGCAAGCCCATTTCTCCTGCTGGGCCTCGGTAAGCTCATAGGAATGTTCTGGACCAACTCTGCCCTTGTTCCAAAATGGGTCAGGCAGCCGAAGGGAGTGACACGCCCAGGGGCTTGTCCCTGAGACTTGCGCCTGCCTCACTTCTGCTCCGCTGGCCTCTGATCGTGGACTCGCGGTTGTCATTGTGCAGGAGACTGAGCAGAGCATTGTGGGAACAGATACTCGTAATTCTATGTGTGGGTGTATGTGGATTCCGAAAGAGGCTGAAACCTCATCTGCAGAGGAATACTCACAAGTCTGAGAGACTGGGGCAGAGAGACATTCCGAAGCCCAGAATGGGCCCTGAGCAGCTTCCTGCAGGTGGGCACGGGGGTCCGTGACTGGGGCTGGTCAGGGCGGAGTGGGGTGGTGCCCCTTCTCCAGAAGGCCAAGTGTACAGACCAGCATCTCTGTGAATGGACGCTGGTAACATAAGGGCCTGGTAGAAGGAGATGGCCCAGGAGAAGAAGCCCCTTTGTAGAAGATGCTGCCGCTGAAACCCAGTTGGTCCCACCCTGATTTAGGGACCGGGATACCCATGCAGGAGATACCCTATGTGAATGAATGGGGGTGACAGCTGACAGACTTGGTCAAAAGCAGTCACTGTTTGACTCTGAAGGCAAAGTCAATTATCCTTTATGTCACCTGGGGATTATTTCCCTGGGACTAATTATCCCTCCCTGCAGTCCTAATGCATTGTCACTGCTGCTTAGATCCCTGTCTCGCTAGTGAAGAGACATCTGTCCAGCTGGGATAACCTTGCATGGCCTCTCGGGGCTCTTTGCTGGGAGGCATCGCAGTTTCTGAGAGGCCTTGCAGACGACAGCCTCTCCCTCCCCCCAGAGCAATTCAGCTTCCATCCGGCCAAGTCACTACTGCACACCTGGTCCGTGCGGGCGCCCTCAGCGGCTGAGGGAGGCACAGAGCCTGCTAAGCGAGCCCCTCCTGGCTGGGGAGGCACAAGTAATTGCACAAGAGGGCGGGGGGAGGCTGGACAATTTTCTGGGTGCTCCCAGAGGGAAGACCTTCCCTCAGTGCCTTGGCAAGTGGAGGAAGAAGGGGAGGGCTGCCCAGAGGTGGTGACTTGTGAACCAGATCTTGGAGAATGAACGGATCCAAAAAGGCGTCCTTTAGAGAGGGCAGCGGCAAGAAAGGCACGGCAGGTAGGGAGCGGCGTGTTTGGGGAAGGTGGAAACCAGAATTCAGGGTTTATAGGAGGGGTGGGTGGGAAGTGAGTGAGGAAGAATGGGCAGGGTGAGACTGGAGATCCCCACGTCCTGTGCTCCAGGGTGAGATGCCTTCACCTGGCAAATATTTAGTGCGTCCCTGTCATGTGCCAGGCACTGTTCCAGGTGCTGAGCCCCTCGTGGGCAAAACAAAGTCCCTGCCCTCATGGAGGGTCCGTTCAAGTGGGGAAGACGGATGATAAGCACCGATGTGAGTACTAAGGAGGAAAGGCAGCTGCCAGAGGGCGGCCGAGGGCGCGGTCAGGGGACTCTGATCAGGCAGCCTCAGAGCAGAAGCTGCCAGGTGCGGGATTAGCCTTCCAGGCTGTGGGAACAGCCCATGGAAAGTCCCCGAAGCAGGAGCAGGCCTGCGGGGCCACGTGATCCTGTGGTCCTTGGGAAGAGGATCTCTTTAGGGTTTGTTTTCATTATGTTTTGAGTCAGAGGAGTGACACAGGTTAATGTGTGTTTTACAAAACACCTGCCCTGGTGCTTGGTCTCAAAAGAGGGACAGGAGAGGGGGCAGCTGCGGTCTGGGGAGACCTGTGCATGGGCAAAAGCCACGCGCCCATCCTTTGCTTTCTCTAATGCAGCTATTCATGTTTATTCGACAAATAGTTACCGAGCTGCTACAAAGTCGCAGTTACTATTGCAGGGCGCTGGGAAAGACAGAGAGGAGGAGAGAGAGCGAGCCAGTTACTGGCCACTAGCAGGGCAGACAGACCAGAGCAGCCGTGCAGGCACAGGATGGTGAGGGCTGGGGCTGGAGCTGGGGCTGGGGCTGGGGCTGGTTGCTGGGGCCTGTAGCCTGAGAAAGGAGAGGCAGCTCTGAGGGTCACTGTTGCAGCAGATGCCCCAGGAATTTGTGACTAATCAGAAGTTAGGGAAAGGAGTGGGAGGGGTCACTGCTGAGGGCAAACTCAGATCCTTCTGGGAGGGGCACAACGAAAACAAATGGGCCTGGTGGGGGTTGCAGCTCCTGCTCTCCCAGGTGGAGCGGTTGTGCAGTTGCTCCAGGTTGTGCAGTTGCTCCAGGTGCCGCGGGGACAGGTGGAGGTGCACAGGCCCCTCCTTCCTATGTCCCTCAGTCCCGCCCTAGCCCGCAGCACCTCTGCCTGCTCGCCTGGCCGGGGCTCCAGGGGTGATCTGGGCTCCAGGGGTGATCGGGGCTCCAGGGGTGATCGGGGCTCCAGGGTGATCGGGGCTCCAGGGGTGATCGGGGCTCCAGGGGTGGTCGGGGCTCCAGGGGTGATCGGGGCTCCAGGGGTGGTCGGCCACCCCCAGCCTTGGCTGGCTGTCCTCTAGTTTTCGGCACCTATGAGGAGCTATTGCCAGCGGGGTGGTCTTGGGCAATCATGTAGACTCCCTGAGCCTCAGCTTGAGAATCTGTAGACTGGGTTGGTACCAGCTTCATCGCAGGGCTGTAGTGAAAATCAAGGTGACAGTGGCTGTGAGAGGCGTTGTGAATAGCCGAGGATGGAGCCCAGGTTAGTTCTGTGCCCATCATGTCTAAGAGTGGAGGGCGATGCCCAGCGGCCGTAGATACACAGAGGCTGGCCCAGGGCGCTCACGTGGGACCCGCTGAACAGTGAGTGACGCTGTCTCCTTGCTGTCTTTCCAGCTGGCTCTGAGGACTCGGGGACGGCAGTCAATGGAGACGTGTTCCAGGTAAGCAAGGTTGCCTCGCAGCAGCGGTGGGGACCAGCAGCTTAGGTCTTGGTGGCGGACCGCCCCGTCGTGGTGGTGGAGCCCGAGTTCTCGTTCTCCTGTCCTTTTTTTTTTTTTTCTTTTTTGAAGTTGCCAGTAGAGTGAGTGTCGGTCGGCTGTCAGCCTATCACAGGCGCTCAATCTCCTGTGGCTCAAGCATCCTCCCTGCCTCAGCCTCCGAGTAGTGGGACTACAGGCATGCGCCACCCACGTGCGCCGGCTAATTTTTCAAGTATATGTTAGTTGGCCAATGTTAATTTCTTTCCTATTTATTATAGAGAGCGGCGTCTCGTTCAGCTGGTGCTCAAACCTCCTGAGCTGCAAAGATCCACCCGCCCTCGGGCTCCCAGAGTGCTAGGGATTACAGTTGTGGCCACAGCGCCCGCCGCCCGGTGCCTATAGTGATTTTTATACCAACAAAAAGGATGGAGGGGCCTAGTAAAGATATTTCTGCTTCTTTCTGTACCTTGGCTAGGCCGTCCGTCCGCCCTCACTACACACAAAGAACTGAGAGCAGTTTAGACGCAGCTACGATCGGGCGATCCCTCGGGAGCCACAGCATCGGCAAGCCCGTCACCCGCCTCCCAGATGCCTGGTGGGACTAGCCTCCACTGAATGAGCCTCCACTTGCCACTCAGATTGGGTCAAAGAGCCCTGGATCCCTGGGGCCGAGGAGTGGCATCTTCCTGACCCCCGCCCCTGGGCGAGGAGCTGGCTTATTGGAAGTCGCTTGGAGAATTAAAACAATAGCTTCCTTGTATGTTAAGAGGGATCCGGGCTGGTACCTTACACGGGGGAAACATGGGCCAAGTCCTGTTTCTGGAAAACTTCCACTTCAACTAGTAGCCAAGCTAGAAAGTCGATCTCGTAGGACTTCGCAGCTTCACGTCTAGTTGGGCCGAGAGAGCCACAAGGACGGGAGGCATTGTATTTCCTGGTACAGTTGTAGATATGGACGACTTAGCGCCCAGCCTCACACACACAAAAGAGCTTGGACCCATAATCCTAAAGGAGGCAGGGCTGGGGGCTTCACGCCGGTACATCCTAGCACTCTTGCGGACCGGTCGAGGGGCGGATCATTTGAGGTCAGGAGTTCGGAGACCAGCCTGAGCCAATGTATTGCTGTGAATTATTCCCATCTCGTGTAGACTAAATTTATATATTATTGTATTATATGTTATTAAGGAATTTGCTTACTTTTACTAGATTTTTTATATATTGAAAAAAATTAGCTTGTTTTGTTCTTTCTTTGCCCATGCCTGTTAGCTCAGCACTTGGGACCTCGAGGCCTCAGGAGGCTCGCCTTCGTTGACGCCCAGGGAGTTTGAGGTTGCTGTGAGCTAGGGGCTGACGCCACGGCACTCTAGCCCAGGGCAACAGAGTGAGACTCTGTCTCAAAAAAAAAAAAGTCCTAAAGTAGACCTGGAGCTAGAGGTACATTTGGAACCACAGAAGTACTAGAACACTATAGTAAAGCTCAGAGAGGTGAAGTGACTAATGCAAAGTCACACAGGAAATCAGTCAGTCTTGGAGTTTCCCACATTTGGTGGACTTGCCCCCTCCCCCACCCCTGGCTTCCTCCCCAGCCCTTGGCCCCGCTTTGCATTGGGTGAGCCTGAGGGACCCACCCTCGGGCTTCCTTCCCAGTCTCAGCGGGAGCTCTTAGTCTCACTAAAGTTGCCAACAATAACCCAGGTGTGTTTATTTGTAAATCACTTCACATCAGTGCCCTTCTAGAATCCTTAGCTTAGTGGCAAAGCTCTGGCTCACCTGCGTCTCCTGAGCCCCGATCTGGGGTGCTTTGCGGTACCCCGCTATTGCTAGGACCGGCTGGGTGGCAAGTGGAAGCCCTGCAGACACCCCTTAGGACTGAGCATGGCAGGGTGCGGCCTGCGGCTGCAGGGGCAGCAGTGGCCGCCAGGTGCCTCAAGGATGGGGCAGAGCTTGTGTTCCATTTCCTCTTTCCTGCAGCCTGTGGGCCACTGGGGGGGTCCAGGTACAAACCTGAGCCCCTGCAAGATCTAAGGGTACACCTGTCCACACCTCGTTCAGCTCCACCTGGCGTTCAGGGACGGGGCAGACGGCCTCCGAAGGCCCCCTCACCCCCCCACGCTGCCATCCTCCTCTGAGCTGCTTAGAGGAATCGACAGCTCAGCTTGGCTTAGATTTAGCTGGTCAATCCCCAAGCCGATGTGCCTCATCCTCTTTGTCCTTGGCGTTATGGCACAGGCTTGGCCACCGCGGCCCCCAGAGGCTCTCAAAGCCCTGCCCAGCGGGGACGGGTCCCTCAGGAGAGGGATTCCTGGGAGCTGGCGCTGGCCTCCTGCCTGCGGGTCCTGCTCTTTCCCGCCCCTCCCTCTCTGGGGCACCTCTGCAGGCTGGGGAGCCACCCTGGGCTGCCAGCCCTCCTGGTCGTGACCCGGTCACCCCGCCGGGATGCTCACGTGATTGAAGAAGAGCCCAGGTGTGGTCCCTGTCTCTCCCTGTCACCGGCAGGGCTGGGGCCGAGCATCCCAGGGGAGAGGAGCAGCAAACTGCTTCCTGGGACCCTGCCAGCCAGCGACGCCACTGCGCTCGCCTGCTTGTGGGGCCACAAGGGCCAGCAGGTGTGGGGCCCATGCCACCTGACATAGTGAGCCACAGCCCTGTGCCATCCCTCCTGCGTGCACGTCCTGTACGGGCTGCAGAGTGTCCACAGCTGTCATCTCATGCCAGCCTCACCTCCCTCCTCGGGTGGCCCTCTGTCGCTCTCATTTGACAGGCTTCAAATCTGAGCTGCCCAGGGAGGGGACATCTCAGAGGACACACATCCAGTGGGTGGCAGAAGGGGGACTCAAAGTCCAGTCCCCTGGGTGTCGTGTCCTGTGCTTTTCCCGCGCCCTCCCCTTCCCCCACTGCTTTGGAATTGGCCATTCCTTCATTCATTTCGTCAGCGCGCATTCTCTGCTGCTGGGACAGTGGGTGTGGGGGCAGGCCTACTGGGGGGCTCGTCCTTGCTCTAGCAGAGGACAGGGGCCTGGACAAAAGCAATGGGAGTCCTCGGACATGGATGGGCCTCTGGAGCTTAGAGTCTGAGCTCCTCTTGTGTGTCCGGCACTGTCCAAGATTCCAGGTGTGACTTGATTTAACCCTCCCAATGAGCCGTGATGTCGGTTTTCTCGTTACTGCCGTCTCGCCCAGGAGATGGGGCGGCTCGCTCCAGTTGTGCAGCTGGTGAGAGAGGACTTGCATCCAGGTTCGCTGGAGTCAGGGGACACAGCTGGGAGGGGTTTCGAGGCTGCCCAGGGGCGTGGGTGGTCCTGGCTGAGGGAACAGCGTATGGGAGGGCACAGAGGGTGCCCGTCACTTGGTGCAGGGCTCACCTGGAGCCTGGGATTTGCACAGAGGGCAGGTGTCAGGAGACCTGGAGAGGCCAACCAGACGGGTGCATTTGTGGCCCCCACTGCTGGTGGGGGGCAGCGGTACCAATTTGGCCTGGTGCAGGGCCACCTCCTGACATCAGGTGTTGTGAGACACCCTGGAGGATGCCTGGATTTGGGGTCTGAATGTTCCCACACCCAGACTGCAGGCCACAGCGGCAATTTGGACTGAGTCAGAAGACCTGGGCCTCATTTTCTGGTTGTTCCGGGCTGGATGACCTTGGACTGGTCACAGAGCTGCGCTGAGCCTGACTCCCTGTCTGTAGAGTGGGGGGTGGGGCCTGCCCTGCTGCCCCACAGGGCTGTGAAGCAAAGTGCTCCCAGCCCTGGAAGCTCCTTACAGACTCCTTCCTGCCCAGCCCCCCCCAGTGAGCCGAGGGTGGTGGTGTGTCAGCGTGTGGCAGAGGGCAGGGGCACGGGGCGGGGGCCCTGGAGGAGGTACACACAGCCTCTAATCGTGGGAAAGTAGACTTCCGGGGAGACACAGGTGGGCACACAGTCGTGTGTAGCGGAAGTGACTTTGGTCCCTGTTAGCTACTGTGCTGAGTCTGCTCACAGCCAGTCATTCTGCGTGAAGCCTGGCTCTGCCACTTCCTGGCTGGGTGGGCTTGGTGCTTGGAGCTGGAGTTTCCCTACCTGTGAGACAAGGAGAATAAAACTCACCTTGCAGAGTTGTAAAGATCAAAGAAAACCGTTGAACTGTGAGTTCTCTGAGTCTCTGCTTCAGGGCAGGCTTCTTGGAGATGCTCCCTGAGGTGTGCAAATGGACCACAGTCCTGCCCCGGGGCCTCTCTCCCGCCTGCCTCTCCTCTGCATCCCGGCTCTCATCTGGTGGCATCTGTGTACTCTGAGCGTCCCAAAGGCACGGGACCACATGTGGTGCTTATGCATGCTGGCTCCTGGCCTCGAATGCCCTTTCCCGGCTGTCCTCACTCTCCCCCGCCCCCTGGCAGGAATGGTGCTGCCCTCCCTGTCCCGTCCTCCTCCTTGCCTGGCCTGTGTTTCAGCAAGGTCCCCAGCCATGTTCTCACATGTGCAGGGGACTCCCCCTTCCAAGCCCCTGCAAGATGGGCTGTCTCTTTCCGCCCTGCCCCCAGCATCCTCTCCTGAGCATCTGTGAATTCATTCAGTAAATATTCTTGAAATCCTCCTGCAGCCAGGCCCTCCTTGTCCTGCATGCTGCATGGGACAGGCAGCCTCTGTCCTCGTGGGCCTTGCTTACTTGTCTGGGGGTGGGGAGAGACAGATAGTAAACGAACCAGTCATTTTGGAGAGTGGTGAGTGCTATGAAGAAAATGAAACAGGACAATTGCTTAGAGAGGGGGGCGTGCTGGGGGAGGTCCCTCTCAGAGCTGGCGCCTCTGTCAGAAGACAGAGGGGAGCCCTAGGAAGATGTCAGCTCTGGATTCGAGGGGAAAGTGCCCCAGATGGAGACCCCAAAAAGCCGCAGGATGAACACGCCTGAGGGCCGGCGTGGCACGAGTGCACAGACCGAGGACAGAAATCCGAGGCCAGGGAGAGACCAGATCACTTGAATGGTATTCTAACCGCAGTGGGGGCCGTCGGATGTTTTTTAAGCGTGACATGATGAATCTGCTTTAGGCTTGGAACAGGTCATTCTGGCATTTTGTGGAGAAGGTGCTGGGGGGGAGACCAGCGTGGTCCAGGCCAGAGGCGCAGGGCCGGCAGGGGGGACAGTGGAAAGTGGTCCCACTTGGGGGCACGTTTTAGAGACGGGGTGATGGGAGCTGCTGGGGCTTGCAAGCGGGACAGGAAGGAAAAATCCAGGGCGACCTGAGGTTTGAGCCTCAGCAACCAAGTGGACTGTGGTGGCTTTTCCTGGGACTATGGTGGCTTTTCCTGGGACTGTGGTGGCTTTTCCTGGACAGGGGAAGGGCAAATCTGGGGAGTGGAGAGTCCGAGTGGCGGAGATGCCTGCTGGCCACCCCCCTGCAGCCGGCACGGAGACAGGGCTCAGCACCTGCTTGCTAACAGAGCGGGGATGGGGTGGTGGTCATTTTATTTTTATTTCTTTTTTGAGACAGAGTCTCGCTTTGTTGCCAAGGCTAGAGTGAGTGCCGTGGCGTCAGCCTAGCTCACAGCAACCTCAAACTCCTGGGCTCAAGCAATCCTCCTGCCTCAGCCTCCTGAGTAGCTGGGACTACAGGCATGCGCCACCATGCCTGGCTAATTTTTTCCATATATATGTTAGTTGGCCAATTAATTTCTTTCTATTTATAGTAGAGACGGGGCCTCCCTCTTGCTCAGGCTGGTTTCGAACTCCTGACGTGGAGCAGTCCGCCTGCCTGGGCCTCCCAGAGTGCTAGGGTTACTGGCGTGAGCCACCGCGCCCGGCCTGTTTTTATTTCTGACGTCTCTGACCTCATGGGGGGGAGGCATAGTCAACACAGAAACAAATAAGTCATTTTAGACAGATAAGTGTTGTGAAGAAAATAAAGCCCTGGAAAGGCCCCTCGTGATGCTGGAGAGTCTGTAAGTGGAGCAGGCTGCTGAGCAGGAGGAGGGTGAGGGTGGTGCCCGGCCGCCCCACCCGAGGGCAGGGCCGACGGAGTGCCAGGCTGAGTGCCAGGCTGCACCGCCCTGTGCTGGCCGCCCTCCCCCACGCCCCAGGGGCTGCAGGCAGTGGCCTTGCTGTCCCACCCCCAGCTCCCACGCCCGGCCTGCCACGGCCTCCTCTGAACCAGGCTCCTCCTGGCTTCTGGGTCTTCACTCATTCAGCACTGCTTACTGAGCACCTGCTATGTGCTGGGGACAGGGGTGGGTGCCACAGGACAAAGGGCATGCCGGCCACTGTCCCACGGGGAGGAGACATTAAATAACAGCAGTCATGGCAGCTATGATAAGTGTGTGCAGGAGGACAGGGAGCCCCGAATGGGCGGAACAGGGGTGCAGAGGCCACACAGGAGGCCTGGCCTTGCCCGCGGGAGCCCATGTTTCCTTTGGGGAGACTCGGGGAAGGTGGGGAAGGTGTTGACAGGGAGGACAGAGAAGGAGGGGCATGAAACGTGCTTGGGGCGTTGGGGAGTGTTCCTGAGCTGGGGACTCCAGCTGGAGACTTGAGGGAGGGAGGAAGATTTCCCCAGCTAAAGCCGGGAGGGGAGGCGAGTGCAGGCCAGAGAGGGTGGGAGACCCAGGGCAGCCGCTGGAGTGTGGGGGCGGCTGCAGCGTGGGATTTGTGGGATTTGTGCAGACAGGAATGCCAGGCCCCTGGAGAGCCAGAGGGGGCTGGCAGGCCCTGAGGCAGGGTCAGAAAAGGGCTCTAGCTGGGCCAGAGCAGAGGCTGTGACATGCCTGCTGAGCTGAGCTCACAATTCCCAACGCTGTCAGTGCAGGGGAGAAGTGGGCAGAGCCCCTGCCTGGAGTCAGAGGCCTGGGCTCTAGCCCCGGGCTCTGCCGCCGCTGTGTTGTGCCATCTCTCCTGGCTTCAGTTTCCTCCCCTGTAAAATGGGAATGAATAAGAACAGTAATAATTCTAGCTACCATTTTTTTTTTTTTGAGACAGAGTCTCACTCTGTTGCCTAGGCTAGAGTGAGTGCCGTGGCGTCAGCCTAGCTCACAGCAACCTCAAACTCCTGGGCTCAGGCGATCCTTTTCAAAGCCTCAGCCTCCCGAGTAGCTGGGACTACAGGCATGCGCCACCATGCCCGGCTAACTTTTTTCTATATATTTTTAATTGGCCAATTAATTTCTTTCTATTTTTAGTAGAGACGGGGGCCTCGCTCTTGCTCAGGCTGGTTTCGAACTCCTGACCTCGAGCAATCTGCCTGCCTCGTCTCTACTATAAATAGAAAAAGATTAATTGGCCAATTAAAACTATATAGAAAAAAATTAGCCGGGCATGGTGGCGCATGCCTGTAGTCCCAGCTACTCAGGAGGCTGAGGCAGGAGGATTGCTTGACCCCAGGAGTTTGAGGTTGCTGTGAGCTAGGCTGACGCCACAGCACTCACTCTAGCCCGGGCAACAGAGTGAGACTCTGTCTCAAAAAAATAAAAAATAAAAATAAAGTGAGGTCCGTTCAGACTGTGTAAGTGTCGTGAGTTAACACAGCTATGACAGAGAGTGACTTTAATCACAGTAAACAGGGGGACTCACTGTGTGCCAAGAAGTTCTCTAAGTTCTTTATTTTTCTTTTAACTCACTGCATCTTTATGTCAACACTGTAGGGTGTGTACTATTATTGAGCCCATTTTATGGTGAAGGAAGTGGGCTGACACCACAGTTTCTGGAGTCTCCTGCTTTTGAAGTATAAATGGGTGTGGCTGTCCTAGGGACAATGGCCTGGCACAGAGAGGTTGAATAACTTGCCCAGGGTCACACAGCAGGAGGAGAGCTGCTGGCAGAAGGAAACGCAAGTGCAAAGACAGGGTGTGGTCAGAGGGCATGGTGGGAATGGGGTAGTTGGTGGGAATGGGGTAGTTCATGGGAATGGGGTAGTTCGAGGCAGCTGAGTTATCCAGATGTGAGGGGTGCCTTGGCACTTGTCCCCAGTGGGGGCAGCAAAGACGGGCCAGGCGTGACAGGCTGTGTCTGCTGCCGCCTGCTTGTGTCCTAGGAGGCCAACGGTCCGGCGGATGGCTACGCGGCGATTGCCCAGGCCGACAGGCTGACTCAGGAGCCGGAGAGCATCCGCAAGTGGAGAGAGGAGCAGAAGAAACGGCTGCAAGAGCTGGGTGAGGGCAGGGCTGCGGCGGCGGTTCCGGGCTGGCTGCAGGGGACAATGCAGGGCGAGTGGGCGTCCTCACCGCGGGGCGGGGTGGTGAGGGTGGCCCTGGGCTGCCTGGCAGGTGCCAGGGGAGGAGCAGCCGGGGCAGTGGCCGGTCTGTGTCCCCCGGCTGAGAAGCCGCCTCTCCTTCCCCTGGGGGGCCGCAGACGCAGCCTCTAAGGTGACGGAGCAAGAGTGGCGAGAGAAGGCCAAGAGGGACCTGGAGGAGTGGAACCAGCGCCAGAGCGAGCAGGTGGAGAGGAACAAGATCAACAACCGGTGAGAGGAGCCGTGGGGCCTGGAGGCAGTGCATGGGGACAGGGAGAGGAGCTATGGCAGGGAGGGCTTCCTTGAGGACAGGCCTTTGGTGGCAGGAGCGGGAGAGGAGGACTGTACCCCCAGGGCTGCGTCCTCAGGTGCCAGGGTGGCGCCCCGTGCCCTTTGGCGCTGCTCTGCACCAGGGTGCAGAAGCTGGCGTTTCCTCCGAGGACGAGGTCCCGTCACCCCTGGCCTCCTCTCTGGGGCCCGCGGCCAACAGCGAGGCCCGGGCACCTGGCCAGGGGTAGGGCGGGGCGGGCACGGCCTGGCTCCGTGAGGAGCCCACCTGTGCATGCACTTCACTGCTTTCTGCAAAGCCGGCGTGGCCGCCCATAGTGGCTGAAGGTGGAAAGGAAACAGTGGCCCGCGGCACTGCAAAGGCCGGGACCGGGACTGCAGGCACAGGGGCTGCGAGGCCCAAATGAAGCCTCGAAGCCCGGGCACCCGCTTTGCCACCGCCCCTCAGCTCTGCTTTCCTCTGCGTTGGCTCCGCTCTTGGGCACGCGCCCCTGGTGTGGGGGACAAGGATGGCCATCAGCAGCTCCATGGCTTTGCCCTGTTCTCTTGGCAGCTCCAGTGAAACTAGGTCCAGCCAAAGTCCTTGGCCTGCCCCCCCCGACGGGTCTGGCTTGGGTCATGTGCCCGTGCCAGGCCGCGACTGGAGCCACGGGAGGGATGCTCGGATCCACCCATCCTGGGGAATCCCATTGCCAGGGACCCATCCTGGGCAATCCCACCACCCATCCTGGGCAATCCCACCACCCATCCTGGGCAATCCCATTGCCAGGGACCCATCCTGGGCAATCCCACCACCCATCCTGGGCAATCCCACCACCCATCCTGGGCAATCCCATTGCCAGGGACCCATCCTGATCGTCCCATTCCTTGGTTTGTACGGGGGTCAGTCCCAGCCAAACCTCAGGGAGTGAGGGGGTGCCTCACCCGGCAGAGGACAATGGGGAGAAGGGGGTCGGATGATGGAGGGGACAAGGACAGCAGAGGCCACCAGAGAACACCTTGTGGAAATGGGCTCAGACAGGCCCCCTACCTCTGAGGCCGTGCCCTTCAAGGTACAACCTTCCAGGAAGGGACAGGCCCCCTCTGGGAAGCCACCCGTCTTCTGTTCAAGAAACTGCTGCATGCCAGGCTCTGGGCTGGGTGCCGAGGAGGTAGAGACAAGGAGGACCCGGTTTTATGTCCTCCAGGAGCTGAGAGGAGAGAATCTCAGGTGCTGCTGAGCTCGAACACAGGAGCGCCCTCTGCACAGAGGCTGAGGAAGCAGAGGAAGCCAGGGGGGAAGGCACCTCCGTGTCTGCAGACTTGGGCTTTGGAGGATGACTAGGAATTCTTCAGGGAAGAAAGGGCAGGGGGCTGGGGAGGCCATTCCAGACCTGGGGACAACATGTTAGGAAGGAAAGGATGTTTGGAAAGGTGTGTTGGGCCACAGGGGGTGGGGGAGTGGTAGCATAGAAGAGAGGAAGGGGGGGGTCACAAGGTGAGGGCCTTGGATAATAGGGTTGGGTAGAGACACAGGCAGTGGGGAGCCACTGAAGGTTTTTGGGCAGGAGGAGGGATATGGTCAGGGCTGTTTTAGAAATGCCCTGGGGCCGGGATGAAGGATCCCCACTCTCCTCTCTGGGATCGCTGCAGAACTGTGCTTCCTAACACCTCTCCCACTGGGGGTACTAATGCCATCTCTCTTTCTTTTTAACCCCCCTCGCCTGCCGTCTGTCTTGCTGTCTGTCTTCCCCACCTAACCCCTTCCCCTGACCTGTGCCTCAAGGATCGCTGACAAAGCATTCTACCAGCAGCCAGATGCTGACATCATCGGCTACGTGTATGTGTCCCTTTTGCTCCCGTCGTGGGGGCAGCTGGAGAGGGTGCAGCCCCGTGCGTGGCCGGCACACGGTTTCTTGAGTCTCCTGCTTGCCCGGCATAACCGAGTGCAGTGCGGCTGGGCTTGGGGCAGTGGCCAGAGCAGCGGACAACCCCCGGGTGGGGGTGGCGGGTGCAGGCACCAACCCTCGGCTCCATCCCCCCCAGCAAGTTGGAGGCAGCTCGGCCACATGGAGCCCTGCGGGGTGGAGGCAGAGAGGATGGCAGGCCATTCCCGCATGGGAGGGCTGACGGCAAAGCAGCTGCGGTGGGTGGGTGGGTGGGGTGAAGGGCCCTTTCACTGAGCAAAACAAACACGGAGCACAGGATGCGGGAGGCATGCAAAGAGGAATGAGATGCCCTCATGTGCGCATCTGTCCCTGCCCACCCCCTGCCTCCAAGGGCACTGACTTCGGCCAGGAGCCCCTGCCCCAGCCACCATGTTCCACACGTTCCAACATGTTCTCTCGTGTTCCAGGCCTGGGGTCTGGTGGGTACGATGACTAATCTAGACCTGGGATGGCAGGCAGGTTTCCTCCTGTGCCACCCTCAGCTGGAGACTCTGTCTCAAAAAAAAAAAAAATGTAACTAACATGCTTAGCGCAGGGGCTGTGCAATGGCTGGCAGTCCGCAAGGAAGGTTCCTGCGTTCTTGGAGCACCCGGTGAGGGAGAGCTAAGCCTGGAGGGCGGTGTTGGGGACCCGGAAGCTGCAGGGAAGATGCAGTGAGCAGCGTCCACCACGTGTGTGCCAAGTGCTTGCCGTTCCTCACTTGGGGTGCGTCCCCGGGGCAGCCGGGCTCAGCCCTCCCTCGCAGAGCGCAGGGCACACCAGGGTCCTCCGCCCCTCCCGTCCGCTCTGCCGAGGTCCAGCCCTTGCCGGCGCTGACCCTGTGCCAGCCCTGCCTAAATGGGGGTGAGGCCGGGCGCGGTGGCTCACGCCTGTCATCCTAGCACTCTGGGAGGCCAAGGCGGGCAGATTGCTCGAGGTCAGGAGTTCGATGCCAGCCTGAGCAAGAGTGAGACCACCGTCTCTATTAAAAATAGAAAGAAATTAATTAACCAACTAAAAAAAAAATATCTATATATATATAATTAGCCGGGCATGGTGGTGCATGCCTGTAGTCCCAGCTACTCGGGAGGCTGAGGCAGGAGGATTGCTTGAGCCCAGGAGATTGAGGTTGCTGTGAGCTAGGCTGACGCCACGGCACTCACTCTAGCCTGGGCAACAAAGTGAGACCCTGTCTCAGAAAAAAAATAAATAAAAATAAAAATAAATAAATGGGAGTGAGACGCACACAGACCGCCCCCGAGGTGCTCAGGGTCTGGAGCGTGTTGCCACAAGAGCCTTGGGGAAGGACGCAGGGAGCTCTGGAAGGAGCCCTGGTGCAGACTCGGCCTCCCTCCTGGGGGGCCCAGTGCAGGCTTCGGAGATGCGGGACCTTCTGCTGGACCTCCAAGTGGGAGGAGTTTTGCAGGCGGGAGGTCGGGGCGGGGAGAGAAGGAGGGGAAGCAGCTGGGGCAGAGGCATGGAGGTGGTAGTGACCCCGCTGCCCGCAGTGGCCAGGGCTGAGGGCCTGGGTGGGGCTGAGCCTGGGAAGCGGCCAGCCTGGGGCCGGTTGCAAAGCTTCCGTGGTGCCAGGCTAGGAAGCTTGGAGTTGATGAAGCAGCGGGGAGCCAGGAGAGGTTTCCCGAGGTGGAGGAAGATGCCAGATGGGCTTGAGTGCCACGGAACGCCGCAGAGGGCTCAGCGCTCCCATGGAGCCTGAGGAAATGGCCCAGGGGGCACCCAAGACAGCCCCGAAGAGAGGGAGAGTCTACACCAGGGCCTCTCAGACGTCCCTGCGCCTATGAATTGCTGGGCGAGTTTGTGAAACCAGATACAGATTCTGATTCTGTAAGGGCCCTGGTGAGATCCAAGATTCTGCATTTCTCACAAGCTCCGTGGTGATGCAGATGCCACCGGATGGACCACATGGTCCTTGGGCTACATGGACGGAAGGGGCCTCTTGGCCCTGAAGGGCCAGCCCCTCGGATAGCTCCCCTCACTCCCTCTGCACCCAGCTCCATGCACAGGCTTCGCACTTCCCTAAGCCTGCACACACTCGCCACCTCAGTGGACTATCGGGAGGGCGGAGTCATGACCCTCACATTGCAGTGAGTGGGTGAGCACACGGCCTGTAAGCAACATCTTCCACGGCGCAGTCTGTGGGGTCACATGGGGAGGTCGCCACTGTCAGCCGGTGTCTGGCGTGTGGCAGAGCTGGCCCTGCTTGAGCTGCAGAAGGGGCTTCCGAGAAAAGAAAGGGGCTTTCCAGGGTCCCTTGCTGACCAAACAGGACGCAGACCCAGCCCTTCCCACCTAAGAATCCTTTATTACCTTTCTCTTACTCCAATGTTTAGATTTTGCCCACTCTACTGTATTTTCTTTTTTTTTTCTTTTTCTTTTTCTGAGACAGAGTCTCACTGTTGCCTACGGTAGAGTGCTGTGGTGTCAGCCTAGCTCACAGCAACCTCCAACTCCTGGGCTCAAGCGATCCTACTGCCTCAGCCTCCCGAGTAGCTGGGACCACAGGCATGTGCCACCATGCCCGGCTAATTTTTTCTATATATTTTTAGTCGGTCAATTAATTTCTATTTTTAGTAGAGACGGCGTCTCGCTCTTGCTCAGGCTGGTTTTGAACTCCTGACACGGGCAATCCGCCTGCCTGGGCCTCCCAGAGTGCTAGGACTACAGGCGTGAGCCACCGCGCCTGGCCTTTCTACTGTATTTTCTAAACGTTGTTGCTCCATTGTCCCTTAATCAGGGACATCTATAACTGTCAACCAGAACTCCTGATGATAAGGCCATCAGTTTTTATCCTAACTTGATTCTAACAAAAGCAAAAGTTTCCAATGGAGCATTCCCCAGGCTGTGGCTCAATGGAGACAATAGTCATTCCGGGCTAACGAGGGCTCCGTAGTCACACATGCTCGGGACGTGGTGGGTTCTCTGTCCATGAGCTCCACTTGGAGGTTCAGGATGCACATTAGCATGTTAACTGCTTTGAAAGTCTTGAGTCTTGGTATAAAGATGCTCTTTAGGTAGGGCGCGGTGGCTCATGCTTGTAATCCTAGCTCTCTGGGAGGCTGAGGCGGGCGGATTGCTCGAGGTCAGGAGTTCGAAACCAGCCTGAGCAAGAGCGAGACCCCATCTCTACTATAAATAGAAAGAAATTAATTGGCTAACTAATATATATATAGAAAAAAATTAGCTGGGCATGGTGGCGCATACCTGTAGTCCCAGCTACTCAGGAGGCTGAGGCAGGAGGATCCCTTGAGCCCAGGAGTTTGAAGTTGCTGTGAGCTAGGCTGACGCCACGGCACTCACTCTAGCCCGGGCAACAGAGTGAGACTCTGTCACACACACAGACACCAAAAAAAAAGATCCTCTTTAACTGACTTTTCCATATATATTTGACCACGATCCTTTTTCTGGAGATTACTTGCACAAAACATTTAGGCAAATGCTGACCTAGGTACTTCATATGGTTAGGTGGTGAGTCAATTTCCAAGTTTTCGGAAATGTTGAAAATAGGTACAGTTCTGCATTTGTTCCTCCAAGGGCCTTTAGGTGTCAGGAGCCCCAGGTTGGAAACTCCTGATGGGGAGGTAACCTAGGCTGGGAAGACCCACCTGAGGGGGTGAAAGAGACCTGCACTGAGACCCGAGTGACAAGCAGCAGCCAGCCACGGGCGTGTCTGGGAGGAGAGCATTCCAGAAAGAGGTGATAGCAAGTGCAAAGGTTCTGAGGCAAGACCAAGCTAGATTTCCTTTTATGCCAAGGCTGTTCCCGGGTATTGGAGGCCAGAGGGCACAGGGCTGGGGAGGAGGCCTCTGTAAAAGTGTCCCAGGGAAGGCTGGGCGGAGTGGCCTTGCTCCGAGGGAGCAGAGCAGCACTGGCCCGGGGGGAAGGTGAGCAGCTGGAAACCTCTGACCTACTTCCACCTGCAGGGCATCGGAGGAGGCTTTCGTGAAGGAATCCAAGGAGGAGACTCCAGGCACAGAGTGGGAAAAGGTGGCTCAGCTGTGTGACTTCAACCCCAAGAGCAGCAAGCAGTGCAAAGACGTGTCCCGCCTACGCTCGGTGCTCATGTCCCTGAAGCAGACGCCGCTGTCCCGTTAGGGGTGCCTGTCGTCATGAGCATGGCCACAAAGCTTGGGCCGGGCCTGGGCAGAGGGGCAACTGCTTCGGTCGGGGTGGGAATTGTCTCCAGCAGCTGCGGCGCACAGCCTATTCCGTTCCTCTCCATCTCCCGGGGCTGGAAAAGGGGGACCCTCACCCCTCCAGCCCCGCACTCCCACCTGGCCCTGTGGCCCAGCCCCTCACGCCTCCTCTCAGTCCACTCGAGTGTGACTGTCCCTCCTGATGTATTTTTTTCTTGGCTTAAAGGATGTGTTGTTAACTCTTTTTACACTTATGTATTATCATTCTCATTTCTCTGGAAGCCACAATTGGTGTCAGGGCTGTTTGTGCATACAAGTTTCCCAGCTTCGTGGCCTTCAGAGAAGGTGGGGATGTTTCCAGGAAACCCAGGAGTCCTCCAGCCATAAGTGGGTGCCCTGACCTGTCTACGTCTGCTGCCTCCACCTCCAGGCAGAAAGACAACCTCTCACAGGATCCTTTCTGGTCCTTTCACAAGTCTGTGAGGTCCCGATTCTGTTATTCTCATCATAGAGCCGAGGACACCAGGCTCCCGGAGGGGAAGTGGCTCATAGTGGGCAGGGAAGAGGCAAGACCAGAGGTTCCTGTGGTGGCTTCCGGTAAGCCCGGTGAGAGGCCCGTCAAGGTGGTCTCTGCCAGGCCCCCTTCCTCAGGGTTGGCTGGGCCCCTCTGGATGTGGAGGGCCAACTGTTCTTGTATTTCACCTCCTCCTTCCGCTGTGCCCTTCTGGGGATTTGGGACAAATAACCAATGACCACACCTTCTTCCCCTTCAGCAGAGGCTACGAATAGGACATTCATGACCTGCATGGTGTTTAAAAAGATTTGAGTAGTTGCCGATAAATATTAGTGTCCTAATATTTATCTGTATTATTAGGGGCTGCTGTAACAGTATCGTCTCACACTTCTGGAGGCCACACGTCCAAAATCAAGGTGCCAGCAAGGCACCCTCTGAAGGAGCTGGGGCAGGATCTGTTCTAGGCCTCTCTCCTGGCTTCTGGTAGCCACAGGTGTTCCCTGGCTTGCAGCTGTATCGCTCCAATCTTTCCTCCATCCTCACATAACCATCTTCACACTGTCTGCCCTCTATTCATGTCTTTGTGTTCAGATTTTCCCTTTTGCTGAGGACACCAGTCATACTGGATTAGGGCCCACACTAACCCTCATTTTAACTTAATTCCCTCTGCAAAGTCCCCATTTCCAAATAAGGGCACATTCTAAGGAACCAGAAGCTAGGACTTCAACATACCTTTTTTGGGGAACCCCACAACACCAACACTTACAGAAAGTGCCACAGTCCTCACCACACCACGTCCTTCCCAAGGGTCATTGCAATGCACTACTCTGCCTCACAGCTGAGAGACCATGGTGAAGGCAAGAAACTTAGCTCGCCCTGGTCCTATACACTCCTCCACTACGAAATCTAGACTCTGTCGTGGGGCTCAAGGGGTGTGTCTTCATTTCCCCTTTTCCCTTTTGCCAACCTGAAGCTGGTATAGAAAATGGTGGAGCCGGGCGCGGTGGCTCACGCCTGTAATCCTAGCACTTTGGGAGGCCGAGGCGGGCGGATTGCTCAAGGTCAGGAGTTCGGAACCAGCCTGAGCAAGAGCGAGACCCCGTCTCTACCAAAAATAGAAATAAATTAATTGACCAACTAAAAATATATATACAAAAAAAAAAAAAATTAGCCGGGCATGGTGGCGCGTGCCTATAGTCCCAGCTACTCGGGAGGCTGAGGCAGAAGGATCGCTGAGCCCCGGAGATTGAGGTTGCTGTGAGCCAGGCTGGCGCCACGGCACTCACTCTAGCCTGGGCAACAAAATGAGACTCTGTCTCAAAAAAAAAAAAAAAAAAGAAAATGGTGGAGTCACAAATGGGAGGGACATGGTCCCTGAATCCACACTTGAGGAGAGCTGACCGCAGACCAGGAGGACTTCACATGAATGAGGAACTCACAGGTCACCTCTCTTCTAGAGTTTGCTCAGGTCCCCAGCCTCCTCTTCCAAAATCCTAAACCCTAAGTACACAAATTGCTAGAGGGCTTCAGGACTGTGTGCACCAGGAGTTGGGAGCAATGGCTGTGGCCCTGGTGGAAGTGAAGCCATGGGCCATGTGCCCAGGCACCCTGAGTAGGGGACAAAGCAGCTGGGGAGCAGGTCTCCGGCTTGGGACCTCTCTTCCCCAAGGCCGACGCCTCCGGACATCAGCGGAGGGAGGGCGGAGGGGCTGGTTGAGGCGGGGTCCTCCCAGTTCCAGAGTCAGCTCCATGCTGCCTGCCCCCAAACCCGGCCGCTGCTCCCGCTTCAATCGGTTCCACCCTGCACCGCCCCGTGCTGCGTCACATTTCCGGTCCACTCCCGTCCAGCCCCCGCTGGTGTCCCTGGTCCTCCCCTATTTCCTTCCCTCCGACATCACAGTCCCCTCCGTCTACAGCACTTTGGGAGGCCGAGGCGGGCGGATTGCTCAAGGTCAGGAGTTCGGAACCAGCCTGAGCAAGAGCGAGACCCCGTCTCTACCAAAAATAGAAATAAATTAATTGACCAACTAAAAATATATATACAAAAAAAAAAAAAATTAGCCGGGCATGGTGGCGCGTGCCTATAGTCCCAGCTACTCGGGAGGCTGAGGCAGAAGGATCGCTGAGCCCCGGAGATTGAGGTTGCTGTGAGCCAGGCTGGCGCCACGGCACTCACTCTAGCCTGGGCAACAAAATGAGACTCTGTCTCAAAAGAAAAAAAAAATTAAATAAAATAAAAAAAATAAAAGTTTGAAAAAATGCTGGCTAGGTCAGTTTTTTCAAACAGCATCACTCTAGGCCCACTGTCTAGAATCTCAAGGAGTGGCACTTTCAAATCTCTATTTTTAACACCTGCCCCAGGTCACTGTTACCAGGAAAGTTTGAAAATCACTAGACTACCTGATTCCTAAGGGCCATTCCAGCCTAAAGCCTGTTTCCTCCTAAAAACAAAGACCGAAAACCAGGGGCTGGGGGGATGCGCCTGAGAACGAATTCACCAAACCACAGGTCGATTAGAATTTATTAAGTAGGGAGTGGAGAAGTGTGGCACAAATAGAAGTATGCAGCGTCCTAAAGGAACGGAACCTGGGATTTCTGAAAAAAAACCCTGTCGGTTATGGTGACACAATCAGCCGCTCCCTCCCCCAGTGACACAGGGGCGTGTCGGGGGGACAGGAGGGCTGGTGGTTGCTCCTGGGTCTTGGAATGATCTCTGCGGAGCTTTGAGTCCAGGCCAAAGGCTCAGGGTCGAGACTTCATAGCGGAGGCAGCTAGACCCAGCAAGATGGCTGTGACCGTGAAGCCCTGGGCGGCGATCCGAGTGCGCATCATGAGCTGGGAGCGCTGGCTGTCGCCCCGGTGGAAGCTGTAGAGGCCGTAGGAGAGGGCGGCCGCCGTGCCCAGGCAACCTGAGTAGGGGACAACGCAGCTGGGGAGCCTTCTTCCCTCTTTGGACCTCCCTTCCCCAAGGCCGACGCCTCCGGACATCAGCGGAGGGAGGGCGGAGGGGCTGGTTGAGGCGGGGTCCTCCCAGTTCCAGAGTCAGCTCCATGCTGCCTGCCCCCAAACCCGGCCGCTGCTCCCGCTTCAATCGGTTCCACCCTGCACCGCCCCGTGCTGCGTCACATTTCCGGTCCACTCCCGTCCAGCCCCCGCTGGTGTCCCTGGTCCTCCCCTATTTCCTTCCCTCCGACATCACAGTCCCCTCCGTCTACAGTTCCGAGGGCACCCGCTTACCTATGGGTACCATCGGGTTCTCGCGGGTCTTGCGAAGGAACTTTTCCTTGAAGCCTTCTGGGTTTCTGTACACGGTGGGGCTAAAGCCCTCAATGACTGGGGGCTGCGAGGGTTCACAGGGCGCCTCGGTAGTCACAGGGCCAGGAGCCGCCATGTCTGAGCGACAGCTGTGGTTGGTAACAGGAACGCCGAGCTCCGCCTCCTGACCGAGTCCATGCAATGGGCGGGGAAATGACGATGTCGGGCGTTGTACGCAGGCGCGCGCGCTCACTGCATTCTGGGAGTCGTAGTAATCAGCACGGTGAGGCTACGGAAGGGACTACGTTTCCCAGAAAGTCTTGCGCGCAGCCTCCGCGAGGAGTGCGAGGCACGAGGTTCCGAGAGTGAGCGGCGCGGAGTGCGGGCGCGGCTGCGGTGGTCAGCGCAATGCCCAAAGCCAAGGGCAAGACCCGGAGACAGAAGTTCGGTTACAATGTCAACCGGAAGCGTCTGAACCGGAATGCTCGACGGAAGGCGGCGCCGCGGATCGAGTGGTGGTGGAGACGGTTCGAGAGGCGATGGGGTTCGGGGAGGTCTGAGGTTCGGGTGCCGGGACTGTTCGAGAGGCGGGGTGGGTCGGGAGGTCTGAGGGTTCGGTGCGGTGGCCGGCCCGAGCGCCGCGAGCTCTGTCTTTGCCGGCAGCTCCCACATCCGC